TTCCCTTCTCAACCAAGAAGCTTCTTAGGTTCTAACGAATGGGTGGGGAATGGAAAGACTTTGTAATCAGCCAGTCTTTTTTTTTTTTGGGGGGGGGGGGGTGAGACAAAAAACGAGAACACCCAGTTGCCTTTTGAAGAAAAAAAAAAACTTTGGGACAAGCATGACCTGGATGATTTGAGAATCTTTGTAGACAATTATCCTATTAGATACAGGATTAGTTAAGTGGACTTAAGAGTCTTGTTTTATGCCAACCGTGGTTGGAACTTGCATCGTTATGTAGTAGGAGAGCTCTAGACCAGGCATTCCTGTCAGCAAATATGTATAACCCAACTGGGTGTAAATCAGCATTCGAATGATTCCAAAATAATTATTGCATGTTCTAATTTTGTTTTTTTTTTGCAGCTTACTTTTATTATTTGATGTTTTATTTTAACAACAGTTTTTGGTTGCTGCAACTTAAAAGCCATTCTGCTTCTCTCCACCTGGGGTTTTGCTAAAGAATGTAAGAAAGGTGGGGCTCTTACACTTTTCACAAACTCCAATGAGGAAGGGAGGGGTAATTAATTCTGTGTTTGAAACCGCAGTTTACCTGTTGGCCAAAATGGAAGTTTCCACACTGGATCAGAACATCTGCAAATACTTGTATGAGTGAAGGACTTGCCCTTCTAGGCCAGAGGCTAATATGACTTGGAACACCAGACGGATCTGCTACTTCACAACTATAGTCATTTAATTGAAGTACATATATATGGAGATGCTTTGTGCTTTAACGCATTATGAATTACCTTGGAAGGGCATTTTAAAAATGATGTGCAAATAATGAAACGAGCGATCTCAAAGTGCCAAATATGAATATGCTGGCAATTATACATATTCAAAAGACACTTTTTGGAATGTCAAATTGATTGTACACATAGACAATAGACAATTAGGACTAAGTGAAGACACTTAGAAGACTAGGTCACTTAGCAAGTGTAATGGGATTTAAACTGGATGTTCGTCTATTTTGCTTATTGTATGAACAGCAGTACAATGGAAGACTGGACATCCTTGTCAACTTTTTTGTTTCTTCAATGCAAGGCCATGCAAGTAAAAACTATAAATCTAACTCCTGATAAACACAATAGGGCAATATTAGAAATTGGGTTCTGGAAGAGAGAAGGCCTTTATGATTACTCTAAATTTTAGTATATCAGTGGTCGAGACTCTGTTCTTAATAGTAGTTTAATTTAAGAAATTAATATCTCCTAATCTTGACAGTTATTTATTCTATAGTTTGTGAAGTATAGTACTCCTTACAAGAATTCTGTAATTCTTTATTACAGAATGTAACTAATCTTGCTTGCTATAAGCAATTATACTCAAATGACATGTAAAAGCCCCAATAAAACATTACTATATTTATACATGCTATCCATGACTTATTGAATTAGTTTTTTTAATCTAAATACCTGGATTTAGGCAATATATTAAATCATAAACCAGTCCATCGTATTTTTGCTATGTGAATCTATTCAATGCTATTAATATAACTGACCCCCTGCTGCGTAATACAGAACGAGGGGGCAAAACTAGATTTTACAAACTATCACAAATTAGGAAAAAAATTAAATGTCTTCAGTGTATAGTTATTCTACAGAAATAAGTGGAATGTAATAATTAGAGAATGCAAATGACTTAAAAATCAGTTTCATTCAAATCTGTAAACATTTGAGAATATGGTTTTATTAAAGACAGAGAATAATGAACAATGGATGGTAGATTCTAAGGAGGAAAAGGCTTATTATTCAAGGTTATTCTGCAGTGGCATACACTGTGTAGATCCTATTTTTTATAATTACTGGTAGCACTTATATTTCATCTTTTCTCTAGGCGCTCGAAGTAACAGTAGTTGCAAATCAGTCCCAGGATTCTGACTTCCAGCTTGCTAATAGAGCAGTTTTGAGTCCAAATGACTTTTTGATATTGCAACATGTTAATTTACACTCTCTTATGTTCCATCGAAATGCATCAGCCCAACAATAAACTTTTCAGAAATCAGATTTAATAATTTCAAACTTCCTATAAAAATGTCTTCTTGAAACTTTTTACCATTTACCTCACCTTTTTTTCTGTTAAAACTTGCAAATTTATTATCGGATAGCCAGTAATGGGACACAATGTCCCAAATGAAAATTGAATTCTTTTTTAACACATGAGCATATAGTTTTAGTAATTCTCATCTGTATAGCTTACTTGCTTTTCAGATTTTCTGAAAATGTAAACGCATTCATAAACTTCATTTCTCCCTTTTTTTAATCTAAGTTCTGTTAACAAAAATATTTTGGTTATACAAATAACACACAAAACAGTATACTGTGCTATATTCACAATGGATTCTGGAACATATTAGAAATTTGTACTGAATTTCAGGATATCTGCCTGGACACTGAATATTAAAATGAACATGGGCCATGTAGCATAACATTCCTAAACTCACAATAAATTTACAATAGATAACTTAAGCCAGAAAAAAAAATCAATTTTTGAATGGTTGAGGAACTACTTTATTTTAAACCAACCAAAATATGGCATGACTTGAAGCAAAAAATTCATGCAATACTTTATAAAACTATCAGTGAGTTGTTGTGAAGAAGCATGATTGTAACTTTTGAGTAGAACATATAATTTAACTTACTCATGCTTCACATACATCTGCCAATAAAGACTGAATATTAATTGTGTTTAATAAAGCTACAACACAGTATACTGTTTCATATGTTGTTTAACCAGAATCTCTTTTAACTACTGATAGGATTTAAATGAAGTTCAGGTTACACTGCAAATCACAGAAATTCTGTATATAATCCAGTATGTCAACTCTTAAATTGTTTTCCTACATCAGGTAATGGGATATGTTTTCTTACTTGAGTATCTTCATGGTAAGTTAGCCATTGTTCTGTCTACTAATTGGATGGCCGTTGGAATTTATCCAAAATGATCCATTAGAAAATACAGGATCCTCTTATGTAAAGAGATGAACACCCTTTCATCTTCAAATTGTTTCAGATTTGTTTCAAGTAATAAATTGCCTGAAACAAACAAACAAATAAAAAACTAGTTAGCATTATAGCATCTGATAAATATAGAACAATCTCCTAGCTTATATATAACAATGCACATTACAATATAGTTATAACACCGGTAATAATTTTGTGCTTTCAAGTCAGCCTCGGCTCCTGGTGACTAGAAAACGAAACTAAACTAGTTGAGGCTTTGGAGTTCAAGCAGACAAACATCTGCCACACAAACCAAAAAATCTCTGGATAGTTGACATTGCAATACAGCCAAAAAGAAAGAACTGGAGAAAATAAGTAAATATAAAGGCCTGCAAATAGAAGTAAAATAAACACGGCAAAAGAAGATAGTACCAAGAGTAATAGGAGCCGTGGTTGCAATCTCAAAACCACTTGAACACCAACTGCATTGACAAAATCACCACTGGTCAATTGCAGAAGGCAGCTTTACTTGAAATATTTTACATCCTGCAATGTTTAATATTAAAAAAAAAAATCGGTGTTCTTGGGAAAGATTCGATACGTGGACAAAAAAGGTCAAATCCAGCCTAAACATCTGGCTAGATATGCAACCAATTGCAAAAGGCAGCTTTACTTGGAATAGTTTACATCCTGCAGTTTAATATTACACATCTGGATTCTTTGGAAAGACTCGATATGTGGACCAAAAAAATTATCAAAACTAGTCAAAACATCTGGCCAGCTATGCAATGAATCATAATACCAGGGACATTGTTAGGGACATAAAGCAGAGCTCCATAAGACTGGACACTTCTGTACAGGCAGTCCTCGACTTACAACAGTTCGCTTAGTGACCCTTCAAAATGACAACAGCGCTGAAAAAGTGACCGATGACCATTTTTCACTCTTATGACCGTTGCAGCATCCCCCAGTCATGTGACTGACACTCAAGATGCTTGACAACCGATTCATTTATGACGGCTGTAGGATGACGTGATCCCCTTTTGCGACCTTCTGAGAAGCAAAGTCAACGGGGAAGCCAGATTCACTTAACAGCCGTGTTACTAATAATTTAACCACCGCAAGTGATTCAACTAAAACGTGGCAAGAAAAATTGTAAAAATGGGGGGGGGCAGTGAGTGCAACATAAATTTCGCGCTCAATTGCGGCCATAAATCGAGGACTACCCATATATGCACTTTCCTAGCGCCAATCTCTGCCTTTTCTGCACAATCAAGATGCATTAAGCTCATAGGGTTAAATAGGCTACCATTTGGAAGCACCAGATCCAAAATAATGGACAGATATGGGTAAAAAGCTCCTGCAATTTAATTTAACGAGTTAAGTCAGGGTTGTTGTTTATTTCTTGCAATCTGGATTTTTTTTTAAAAAAAAAAGTCAGAGGCTAATTCAGACATGGTGGGGGTTGCGTCCAGGAGTCTGAAGGGCTGTTGCAAGATTTAAATCCTGCATTTCACACACACACACCCGCCCCTCACCAATGGACCCCAAAGGGGACGGTGGGGGGGGGGGGCGACGGCGGCGGGGGGGTCTCAACCAAGGTCACATTTCTTTTGCCTCACAGAACAACTTCAGACTCTCGCGCGCCCCGCAACGCGCAGGCGCGCCGGCGGTTCCCCTCCACCTTTCGAGCGGGAAAGGGAAGGGGGGAAAGGAGAAAAAAAAAAAAAAGCGTCGGCAGAACATGGCGTCTCCCTCTTTCGCCTCGGCTCTCCCCCTTCTCCATGGCTCCGCGCCTGCGCAGTCGGACTCTCCGGTAAGCCGTATCCCTCCGCCGAGCCTTCTTCCTTCTCCCCCCCCCCCCTTTCCTCACACATAACCCTTTTTTTTGTCAGCGCCCGTTCTTTGTGGGAGGGTGGGGGGGGGGGGCTACCCGATCATCGCCCCGCGTCCCCATGAGGGGAGCAGCGGCGCCCTTGGGGAGCAGCACCCCGAGAGAAGCCGCTTCGGCAGCTCGGCTCTGCTGCTGCTGCCTCCTCTCCTGCCGCTGCCGCTCTTCCCCTGCGGGCCTCTCCTCCTCCTCCTTCTTCCTTCCTCGCCTCAGCGCTCGCGAGCGCGGCCGCCCGTGTCCTTCCGCCGCGCGCGAGCGGGGGACTTTTTCGCGGGGCTTTTTGGGCGCCCTATGAGAAGCGGCGGCGGGCTCCGGGCGGCCCTGCTCGTCGTTCGGTCGGGCGGCGGCCGGGCGCGGGCGACACGGTAAGGGGGAGGCCCCCTTTTCCCCTTCCCTCCTCCTCTCCTCCTTCTCCTCTTCCTTTTCCTCCGCAACCCCCACCCCCCTCACCTCCGATGGCCGGGCCGGCCAAGCTTTTCCAGGTCAGTCTGCGCCTTTTTTGTATAGAGGGGGCCCTTGTTACCGGATGTGGAAGTTGATCTCTTCTTTCGCTGGTAAAAAATAATTCCACTTCCCCCGGAACCCGGCGCTTACCGCGGCTCCCTCCGCTCCTTTCCCAGCCAGGATTTCCTGTCGGGGGGGAAAAAAGCGGGGACGGGAGAGGCCTTCCGGGGATCTGGCGCTCGCGGGCCGCCGCTTGGAGAAGGACCGGCGGAGTGTGGGGGGGAAAGGGAGGGGAGGGGGGCAGGCCGCGCTCCAGGCGGGAAGCAGCCGAGGGGGTGGGGGAGGGGTGCCTGGAAAGAGGAGGAGGAGTGGGGGAGGGGCTGACGACGACCCCCCCTCCCCGGTTCCTGGTTCCTTCCCCTCCCCTCCCCCCAAAACAGGCGTTCACACGTGACCTCCCTCCGACGCGGGTCGGGCCCGTCTCTTTCTTTCTCCCGACCTCCCTCCTACAGCCCGCCAACCCTGCGCTCCCGGGCGCCCCCTTTCCCCAACCCCCACCCCTTTTTTTTCCTCAGGTGGTGTGTGTGTGTGTGTTTGTGGATCGTCTCCCGGTCTTCCAAAGTTGGGTTTTAAAATTGGGGGGTGGGTGGGTGGGATTAAGCCGTGGGGGGGGAGGGTACGAGGAAAATTGGTGGGTGGGGTGGGTGGGATTTAGCCGTGGGGGGGGGGAGGTTGGGTGGGTATGAGGAAAATTGGGGTGGGTGGGTGGATTAAGCCGTGGGGGGAGGGTACGAGGAAAATTGGGGGGTGGGTGGGGGTGGGAGGGTATGAGGAAAATTGATGGGTGGGGGTGGGGGGGAGGGTATGAGGAAAATTGGGGGTGGGTGGGATTAAGCTGTGGGGGGAGGGTACAAGGAGGGTGGAGGGATTAAGGGAGGGTACGGAAAAGTGGTGGTGGGTGGTAGGATTAAGCCATGGGGGGGAGGTTATGAGGAAATGGGGGTGGTGGGTGGGATTGCCATGGGGGGTGGGTACGAGGAAAGCGGGGGTGGGGGGTTGGGTGGATGGGGCTGCTGCTGCTGCCTTTGCCAGGGACAAGCTGGGAATTGGGTCTCCTTTGGATGGGGGTGGTGGGGGGGATTGAGCAACGTCTGGATGGTCTCTGCTTGCCTCTTTCCTTCTTTGGAGGGAGGGAGGAGAGAGAAAGGAATGCTGGCTGCTTCCAAACTTGGTTAGTGTGAGCTGCAAGAATCTATGGCCTCTTTGGGACCAGTCTTCGAAATCCTCCCCGTTCCAGGAAGCCCAAGGAAACCGATTCCCACCAGACACGTGTTTTGGCTGCTCTATAAATACAGACCCTTATCACCCCAGAGCAGAGGTCTTCAAACTTGGCAGCTTGAAGACTTGTGGACTTCAACTCCCAGAATTCTGGGAGTTAAAGTCCACAAGTCTTCAAGCTGCCATGTTTGGGGACCCCTGCCCCAGAGCTTCCTATCCAGGATCTCTTCTCCCTCTGTCATGAAGAGATCTGTTCTCTCTTCTTCCTGAAAGGGGATTTATTAGTTGCCTGTTGAATCGAACCCCTGGCTTCTTGGTTTATATGGCTCATGTTGCTCAGCTAAGCACATTTTCCTTTTTACTTAACTGAACTTTAGATTTAATTTAGATCTGATCAGAGGCCCGGAAAGTAATTTTAAGGATCGAAGAGTCTGATCTATCTTATTTTTTGAACCCATACTTAACGGTAAATGCACCTCTATGGTATGCTTTTGACTTAAAATGCCAATCCCATTTCTTTTATATATTCAGAATAGAGGCAGTCATTTCTGGAGTTCCGAAACTTGTATTGTATGTGATACTAAGGGTTGTTCAATTCTCATTTAAGTTTATTATTATTGTATCAAATTTGGCTTGGGTATACAGCTCAGCCCATGGATGAGTTCCTTGAACAGCAATTTTTAGATATTTCCTGTAGCCTCATTGGTTTTTTTTAATAAAGCTATTTTTCTGATAAAAATATGAGACTTAGTTTTTCAGCAAATTGAATTTAAGAGACATTTTTATTTTGATGTATAGAGATTGGCTTTTTGAATTATTTCTAAGAAGATGCATATATAAAATTACATTTCTCCAGATTTTCCCCCCTAATTCATGATTGACTCAAAGATGATCTCATGTATTCACTTTCAAGAGGCTGTTAAAACACTGACATTTAGCCCATATTTATTCGAAGTATACCCAATTGAACTCAGTGAAGTTGGCTCCTCACTATGAATGCAGTTAAATTCTATTAAAACATTAACAAGTAAACAAGCAAACAGCTCTGGATTGATTAACATCACTGTGAAAATATAATAATATTGCTGAGTACTTAATAGTTACTTAGTAATTAATATTAATATTAATATTAATGATGAGAATATTAATATTATCAGAGTATTAATAATACTCTGATGAGAATTTTTTCCATAGGTTACTAATTTTGTGATGATATATTCCATCCATTTAGTATGTGTATTTACTAAAATGTCATTCTCCCACATCTTTCCACTTGGGAGTTAGGCCGCTGGGTTATGCTTGGCTGGTTTGGTTGATTTCCCTTCCCTGCCTGCCTGATACCCTGGTATCTAGCTGGTACCCTGCTCTTTACTTTTTGTTCTTTTTTTCCTGCATTTGCTCATGGGCTGTTATTCAAAACCACCCCTTATCCAAGCCAGAAAACAGGAAAAACAGCAAAGCACCCCTTCATTTCAAAAGGTGCAGGGTAACCATAGAAGACAGGAGAAGGGATGAGTCCAACCAAAACAAAACTTCTTGGTCTGCAGCTCCAGAGGAAATGCTGCAGAATTGCAGTGTTCCCCCCCCCCCTCGAAACAGGAGTTGAGCCAATTCATCTCTCAAGTCATTGGCTCAGTTTGTGAAGTCTGCCAGAATACCCAGCGTGTCATGGGGACATGCAGGCATCAGTGGAGGGTATACTTAAAGAATCTACAGTACTTTGCATTTTATTAGAACTCCCAAGATCCAACAAGATAGACCTTTAAAATGTAATGAGGTCCATAGTTCTTCCACATAAAAAACTATCTCTAACTATCTCTTTTAGCACTTTAATTTGAGTGCCTCCAGGCAAAACGCTGAGGGTGTTATATAAAATATTAAAAACAATATAGTGGTGGGGTGGAAAATGTCATTGCAATTCTGAAGTAGTTTTAAGAAGAAGAAATCCTAGCATATCTATTCAAATATCGAAGATACAGTAATGTACCCAGCATTGCTATACCACCATTTTATATATACCTGCACTAGGAGAGCCTTGAAATTGCACTGCTCCCCACTTTCTCCAGCGTTTCAAAAGAATATAACAGCTGATGTTTCAGAGAAACTAATATTACAAAAATCGCTTAGCGATTAAGTCTAAAAATTACGTTGACAAATCCGTAGTCAATATTGACTTCATTCACTCTTTCAAAACCATGCAGATCTGAGCAAGCCATAATTCATGAACACTAGTGAATTAATGTTAGGTCTATAGCCACTTATGAAGATACTTTCAAATAATACTTGATTATGAGCAGTGGTGGGATTCAGCCAGTTCGCACCATTTCGGGAAAACCGTTTGTTAAACTTTCTGAGCAGTTTGGCAAATTGGTTGTTGGGGGAAGAAATCATTAGGGCAGACAACTGGTTGTTAAATTACTTGAATCCCACCACTGATTATGAGCCTTGGTTTGGAAGAAGCAGCCAATTTATTTAACAAAAAACCAAAAATCTTCCTTTATGATCCCCGAGTAGAAAAGTAGACTTGCAAATTTTTAAGATTTGGATAGTAAGTAGTTCATTGTTGGCTAAGTACCTGCCGTTTTAAAAAGTTATTAAATTTAAGATGCACTGCTGAGACAAAAAAATAGCGCACCTGTTCTATACAGATTTCTGACATGTTCCAAGTACAGTATCAAGAATGAATGGTTTCATGAATTCCAGTATAGAGATAATGAGATATGGTATGATACTTGTTTAGCAGCTGCCAAACTACAATAACCGCCAACTATTGACGAATATTGGTTGAAGTTCCCATTTCCGTTCATATTCTTCCCAGATTCTCTCAGACACCAGAAAGGGCTACAAAATAAAACAATAAATAAACAAAAGATATATAAATACATTCTAGATCAAGCCAACTATCACGAGAGAAAAAAATCTTTACAATCGGTTGCTATGGTGTTAATACTGCATTGCTGTAACAATTTGGCAAAGTAACTCCGCTAAATGCCCCCTCCCCTTACTTTTTATATCCTTCAAGAAAACCTAATTTTAATAAACGAGAAAATTAGCTATTAATCACTTTAGGAAGAGGGACTAGGGCCAAAGTGGATTTTGAAGCATATGAAATATTTTATTTTCTGCTTGCTCTTTGGAATTTGGCATTCCTTTGGAGGAAGAGAGATGAATATTCAAATGGCCCTAATAAACATTTAGGAATTTCTTCACGTAAATAAGCATAAGGGACGCAGTGGCTTAGTGGCTAAGATTCTGAGCTTGTCGATCGAAAGGTCAGCAGTTCAGCGGTTCGAATCCCTAGTGCTGCGTAATGGGGTGAGCTCCCGTTCCTTGTCCCAGCTTCTGCCAACCTAGCAGTTCAAAAGCACGTAAAAATGCAAGTAGAAAAATAGGGACACCTTTGGGTGGGAAGGTAACAGTGTTCTGTGCACCTTTGGCGTTTAGTCATGCCAGCCACATGACCATGGAGATGTCTTCGGACAGTGCTGGCTCTTCGGCTTTGAAACGGAGATGAGCACCGCCCCCTAGAGTCGGGAACGACTAGCACATATGTGCAAGGGGAACCTTTACCTTTAAATAAGCATGCCAGTATTCCCAAGTTTTTACAACGGGTACCTGACTTATTACAAACCAACGCAAATAAAAATATTTTGGATTCCTGGAAAGCTGTCAAGGGTGATATGCAAAGGAATAACAATATTCCCCATTGTTACATGTTGCTCCTTTCCAGCTAGGCTATTATCTAGCCATGAATTTGCAAGATGAAACACAGTGGTTGCTGGATTTGAACTTGAGCAGAAGGCCTCTGAAGGTAGAGGGATATGTGTACTAACAACAATCACAGTATTCAAGAGCTTTCTAGAGCTCTGAATCTGAGCAGAAACAATTGGAATTTCTAAACGCTTAGGCCACTAAAATTTTCATTCAGAGCTTCACTGTAGCTCACTAAAAGCTTTGAGAGTTTGGATCTGTCTGAAAAGGAAAAAAAATGAGATTTGAGTATTGCCAGTGAACTGTAGGTGTTTAGCAGAATTTAGTAGTAGTGTTTTGATATTGAAGTGTGGCACTTTTCGGTGTTCACTGTAGTATTTTAGATTTAGGAATGCAAGCATTTAACTAATTGCTTACACAGCACTTATGTAGCTGAAGCCTAAGTTTAGTGTGGCTTAGTCTTAAATATGTTTACATTGGCATCCTAACAAATAAGCTAATTTTTCATTTTCTCCATGTGTTTTTGTTAAATGGCACTTGTTGCTGGAAGTACACACATGGTACACTCAGTTTAAGTGATTTTGCTCTCAGAAAGTCAATTCCTGGCTGAGTAGATGGCAACCCAACATTCCATTGGTCATGCAGAAATTTTGCTCTGGCTACAAATCTAAGCTGGTCAAAGAGGTGACAAGAACAGAAAGAAAGCTCTACAAATACACAGTTTCGATTCAAACTGATTCAATCTATTTTATAATTGCATATGATGAAGGGTTCTATGCATAAATGTATCTTAAACGTTACAAAGATAACATTTCTAAAAATCAAGAGAATTAAATAATTAAATAGCCAGTTTGGTGCAATGGTTGACTATCAGGCTAGAAGCCTAAAACAATGAACAAAAACAGTCAGCAACCATACTCCTTTACTGCAAAAGCATTCCAATAGTGAAGGCGCTGTAGTTACTTTGATGAAGCTGCTGCTCTTCACTAGTGTTGTGTTGTTGCACCACAAAACTATCCAATTATCTGTGTCCTAGCAAGAGCTGGACATCACAGTAAATTGTTAGGTCAATATAAATTAGGGAGTCGGCATGAAAAGTTTTAAAACAAGCAAAAGTAGAAAAAATGTTACCAAGTTACTTGTTTTATAGGACCTCCCCAGGCAAGATTGCTGGCACGCTTTGGCTATGGCATGTTCTGTTTCATGTAGAACGGGTGTCAAACTGGATTTCTTCGAGGGCCAGATCAGCATTGTAGTTCTCTTCCGTGGGCCAGCCAGGGGGTGGGGAGGGGGGGAGGGGTGGGGACACGGGACGGATGCCTCCTGCAGCACCCTGCCGGCCAAAGTGGGGTGTGGGAGGGGCCTGGAGCGGGGGTTGGCTGTCAGAGGCACCGCGGGCCGGTCCTTTGCTATTTCCAGGCCAGTCCTATGGGCCAGATTTAAGCACCCTGTGGGCTGCATCTGGCCTGCGGGCCTTGAGTTTGTCACCCCGATGTAGAAGTTCCAGTGAACTGGAACTTGAAGTTTTAATTTACTGTACCTATATATACTGTAGCTCAGAGATGGTGAGCCGAAAAGGGAGTGCGCATGCGCACTCATCTGGGCCGCAACCCAGAATAGGAGCTTCCCAGGGCGCATGTGCGCACCCAACACGGAACTTCCGGTTTCTGGCACGAGCATGCGTGCCGGCCAGCAAGTGGTGTGGGTTTCTGGCACGCATGCGTGCACGACAATCAGCTAGCCGGCGCGCATGATTACGGAGGAAAATGGAAGATCAGCTCTTCCTGTTTCCAGCACTGCCGCATGCACGAAGGCCAGCTGATCATCGCACGCGCATGCACGCCAGAAACCCAGAAGAGGAACAGGCGCCGCTGTGCGTGTCAGGTGACATGGCTCCGAGTGCCACTTCGTGCCACAGGTTCACCATCACGGCTCTAGCTGCTGTAGAAAGGACAGTAGTATTTGCTTCTTTCATAAATTATCTACATTCAACAGTTGTTTTAACTCTCAAATATTTTTTTAGATGTCCTTGGTAGATTTGGGAAAGAAGCTTTTAGAAGCTGCTCGAGCCGGCCAAGATGATGAAGTTCGCATTTTGATGGCCAATGGAGCACCTTTTACTACAGATTGGGTAAAAACACCATTAAAAGAAAAACACAAAATTGCATGTTTGGTGGTTTGTGTTTGCAGTGTTTATTTTGCTGGAGTTTTTCATATTGCTATCAAGGAAACTACTCAGACGTAAGCATCTTGTCCTTAGGAGGAACGTGTGATTCAAGGGAATTTTCATCTTTTTGAATAACATGATCATGGAGATACAAAATGCAGCCAGAGTACCTTGAGTCAAATAAATGCTGCTTGCTTTCATTAATTGTTCATCCAGATTAAGCTGGTGCCCAATAAGTTTATTCATTGTTGAAATATTGATGCCATTCCACTTTTCAGTTGATAGTTTTTTTCTTAGATTGGTCATGTGTGGAAATATTGGTCACGGACTGTGATAAGAAGGCAGATTTACTGTTCATGAACAAAGTTACTGGAACATATTATCCAATTGCCCTCATTATTTAGTTTTTACTAAGAAGAAGCTTAGTATTAAGTGGGAACTTCTGACATATTCTTCCCAAATTTCAAACCTTGGCTTAGAACTGGGATTTCAGAGTTAAAGTTAGGGTTAGGGTCCAGAGTCCAGCCTTTTGGGGGTGGGGATAACTACTCATAACTACTCAATAAGTACTTTTTCTGCTTCTATTTCCTATTTTGGGAAATCAAATCCAATAGGGAAAAAAACCCCCAAAAAAGACAATATGTAGGATGCAGCAGCTCATCACGATTTTTCAAAATGTTGCCTTCTGGTTTTGATGAGCCTGAAAAAATTGCTGGGCTAGAATGTAAGATCACCACCATCACTGAGATTTTAGCCCTCAAATCATGATGATTGTATTACTTGCCTGATGACTGCAATACAGTGTTTAATTAAAAGAAAACACAACTTTCCTTTAGAACTGGATATTTGTGAGAATGGGCAAAACACTATTGTAAAGAAGAGTTAGCAGTTCCTTTCTAATTTAGGATGAAAGGAAAGATTATAGGAAAGGATTATAGGATTATGTAGAACAAAGATTAGTGACTTCAAAGCAAAAAGTTAGGAAAATAATAAAGATTTAAAACAGCCCAATATGCCAGAATTTCCATTTTTTTTTTAAAAAAAAATAATGGTACCCAAAAATGAATGTGGTATTTTTAGTGTTGTTAAATAAGAGGATAATTATGTGCCAATATCCTATTTCACATTTCCCGCTGCAGCTGGGAACGTCTCCACTTCATCTAGCAGCACAGTATGGCCATTATTCAACTACGGAAGTGTTACTACGAGCAGGAGTAAGTCGAGATGCGAGGACCAAAGTGGATCGGACGCCACTTCACATGGCAGCTTCAGAAGGCCATGCAAGCATTGTAGAAGTTTTGCTTAAGGTAAAAAGAAAAAAAGCTCTCCATTTATTACCTGTACCAGAGTTGAAACAGGACATACAGTGGTAACCCGGTACTCATTGTAAATTGGTTGTGGGAGGTACTATAAGTACCAAACAGAATTTTCCCATAAGGAACAATGTAGTGAGTCCGAAGTCAGACGGCACTGACAGGTCCTAGTTTGGGCGTTGAGTACCGGGACAACATTTTTGTGTCAAAATGTGTTGAATATCAAATTTGATGAGTTTCAAAGAAGTTGAGTACCACTGTAATTGCTAATAGACTGAAGACGCTTTTTTTCCCTGCAGTATCTAAAGGAGTTTCTCAGAACATTTCCGGGCATCAAAGAGGCACATGGGAAGATTTTTTTAAAAAAAAATGCACATTGAAACTTTCTGGACCTCCTCAAGAGCTTCTCTAGAAATCAAGGATGTAGGAGAATCAATAGCACTGTTTTGAGTATGTGCAAAGTGGTTGCCATTTGTAGTTAGGCCGTCTAAAATCAGACCATAGGAACAATATGATTTAAATCCTATATGGCATATTAAAACCTTTACATTAAAAGCCATGATCAATGATATGTTCATTAAAATTTGGCATATGTTCAAATAATTTTTCCATAACAGGAAAAAAAGCCAAGGATGAAGAATATTATCTAAGAAAGGACAGCTTAATTTCCCTAATGTATGGTTTTACAGTTGCCCTTTCTAAGCAAAATAATTTTTCGTGAAACAGCCCACCAATATTCCTGTTTCAAGGCTTTGCTTCTATTTTGCTGTCTGAAAATTCTACAGCAGCAGTCCAAAATCCTTTTTAAAAATTACTTGCACTGAAAATTACAGACTTTCCTTTATGTTATCAGACTAATAAAAGCACATGATTCTTATCAACATTATTTTTAGATGAAGAGATTTATTTTTGAAGGGAAAAAATGACAAGCCATGCTGAGAGAGACACACAAGTCATCACACACCAGATTTTATCTTCTGTTCCTTACTTTCTAAGATTAACCGTTTTGAAAATGTGTCCACCCAACAGTTCGAGGCAATAATGAATTAATTAATTACATTAATTATCTGCAGTATATTAACTCGTAGGAGGAAAACGGACAGCATAAACAAAGTTTAAAAGGAAGGACACAGTTTTTAAAATATATATTCAAAGTAATGCTGACCCTAAAATTAACTTTGACTTCTTCTTTCCGTTTTGAAAGAAATTTAATTGACTATGTTTTGTAGCATGGTGCAGATGTAAATGCAAAGGACATGCTGAAAATGACTGCTCTGCATTGGGCCACGGAGCACAATCATCAGGAAGTAGTGGAACTCTTAATAAAGTATGGAGCAGATGTCCATACCCAAAGTAAATTTTGCAAGACTGCGCTAGACATTGCCATAGACAATGGATATGAAGACCTGGCAGAAATTCTACAGGTAACTCAAAACTCACTATTTGTTAGGCTTTTCCAGAATCTTGTAGCTTAATCTCTAGGCTACAGTTCCCCAATGTTTCTGGCTTTGTGGATGGGCAGGATGGGCAGGATGGGGGTGGGGGTGGGACGTGATGGTTCATGCAAGCGGCCGGCCAGTGCTCGCAGCTCCATTTGCGCGAGTGGCCTGCACGCAGGTCTGCCATTCATGCAAATGGAGCATGCGCGCATGTGCTCGCCCATTGCTCACGCAAGTGAAAATGTGTGGTGCATGCTTGCTGGCTTTTGCCATGGCCCAATTGCAAACCTGACAGGTTGGGAACCCATGCTCTAGGCTGTTGTTTTATATAGGATCGATACCCTGGCCTTCAATCATTGTTTTTTTATCGTCACCCTATATTCCCCCTCTCACTACATCTTGAAACTGATGCATTTATTCTGAATACTTTTCTGCCAGATATTTTTCCATGTTGAATATATATCAGTGAGTAACAACACAGTGTGCATGAACTATAGGTTACATTAAGCTGTTGACTGCTATTCTGTCTGAGATTTAATGTATAATTTATGAACATTTGTTATATACTATATTCATCTTAAAATTCATTCCCCTTCCCTAACCCCCCAATAAGTGTAAAAACAAAGCTGTTGTTTTTTTGGTCATAGATCGCCATGCAGAACCAAATCAACACAAATCCAGAAAGCCCCGATACGGTGACAATTCATGCGGCAACACCACAGTTCATCATTGGACCTGGTGGTGTTGTGAATCTAACAGGTGGAGTATTCTCTACAGCTGGTCTCACATACGGTAGATATTCACTGTCACTGAGGATTGCAAATTGCTGGCTCACTCTATTAAATTGGGAATAAGGTTGTGCTTTCTTTCTTTATTCGTGTCATTTCCAAATTAGTGTTAATACCACTTTATAAGGCCTTGGTAAGGCCACACTTCGAATACTGCATCCAGTTTTGGTCGCCACGATGTAAAAAAGATGTGGAGACTCTAGAAAGAGTTCAGACAAGAGCAACAAAGATGATTAGGGGACTGCAGGCTAAAACATATGAAGAACGGTTGCAGGAACTGGATATGTCTAGTTTAATGAAAAGAAGGACTAGGGGAGACAGGATAGCAGTCTTCCAATATCTCAGGGGCTGCCACAAAGAAGAGGGAGTCAAGCTATTCTCCAAAGCACCTGAGGGCAGGACAAGAAGCCATGGGTGGAAACTAATCAAGGAGAGAAGCAAGCTAGAACTAAGGAGAAATTTCCTGATGGTTAGAACAATTAATCAGTGGAACAGAAGTTGTGAATGCTCCAACACTGGAAGTTTTAAAGAAGGTGTTGGATAACCATTTGTCTGAAGTGGTGTAGGGTTTCCTGCTTGGGCAGGGGGTTGGACTAGACGACCTCCAAGGTCCCTTCCAACTCTGTTATTCTAAATGTTCTAAATGTCAAAGCATTTTCCCTATTTGTTTGTGTGGAATTCTGCTGGCGCCACTCCGTTTATTTCACTTTGGACTACTTTTGCCTCCGGAAGAGGGATAAATCTGTGCTTGTTACTGAGCTGATTGGGGTCTGTTTGATCGAGAGTTCAAGTCTTATATCATTCTGAGGGGGAGGGGGGGAAATAATTTCAAATGTAATGGGCGAGTAGATTTTATGTGACTTTCTGATGTGATTTTATGGATTGTGTGTTTGTAGATGAGAGCGGAATGTCTGCTGTCCAGTTTGGCAATTCCTCAACTTCAGTTCTGGCAACGCTGGCTGCCTTAGCAGAAGCCTCAGCTCCACTGTCCAACTCCTCAGAAACTCCAGGTGAGGAAAAATAACATTGTTCCAAAAATAAGGATCCATAGTTTTTTTAAAAAAAAACAGGTTTGGTTTACAGCCTAGTTTTCAGCATTGATGCAATATCATATTTCATGGCAAATTTGTTCTTTAAGCTTGGTTTGTTTTGTTTTTTCCTCTTGTGGCATACTTAACAATAAAAACAGCAATCAAATTTCTTTAACCCAAGAACAAAGAGAATAAAATTAAATGGAAGAAAAGACATTTTTTTTATTTCTGTGAAAAAACATTAGTGGATTATGAGTCAAATTCATTTTAAAACAAATACGCCTTTTTGTGCCTTCTGAATTTGCTTCCTCAGCCAGCGTTGCCGCCTTCTGCAGTCTAATCTCTAGAAGGGAGATCAGACTTCTACGCAGAGCAAGAAAGCCAACTGCCTTGGCTTGGGTCCCTATTTGCTGTAAAGAAATATATCAATTGACTGTACTCTTTTTCTCTGGAAGCTTTGAGAGAGGGGCAAAGCATTGGCAGTAAATATTTAGTACCAAATTGTTTTTGTTTTGTTTTGAAAAGTAGATCTATCATTTGAGATTGACCTCTTGGGTCGGGTGTCGGCAACCTGCGGCTCTGGAGCCACATGCGGCTCTTTGGGCCTTCTGATGCGGCTCCCTGTCCCATCACTGGCTGGCCCCGCCCTTCGCCCTCCCCTTCCGATCACTCCTCGCCTGGCCTTGGAAATGCGAGAGATACAGAGGGGGGGTGGAGAGAGGGAGAAGGGGAGAGAGAGACAGAGATACACAGAGAGAGAGAGGTGGGAGGAGAGAGAGAGAGACATAGATACAGAAAGAGGGGGAGAAAGAGAGAGAGGAGGAAAGAAAAGGATTTTGTGGTTCTCGGTGTTTTTTAACAGCCGGTTCTTTGCCCTAATGACCGTCTGGGTAGGCGTGGCTATGGGGGGGGTGGGTCATGTGACTGGGTGGGAGTGAGTGATGTGGAGTTGGCCACGCCCACCCAGGTTTTGTGGCTCCCGGTGTTTTGTTTTTTTTCTATGGGAAACGGGTCCAAATGGCTCTTTGAGTGTTTAAGGTTGCAGACCCCTGCCTTGGGTTAAAAAGGAGAAAACCTGAATCATGTTTTGCCCGCCAATTTTTGTGACATGTTGATTTGTGGCGTTTATGGAGGATTGTTTCATCTGTGTAAAGATCACAGTGCCACGTGGAGGGCTTCTCCTCCTGAAAATATTCCTGATTGATTGAAAGCTTTTGTATCGCCTGCTCCTGAGTTGGCTGACATAAGGTCAATAAATACAGGACAGCCTCTGCCCGCAGACTTAGAAAGATGAGGAAAACAAACCCATAATACCGAATGATTGGCTAGAATGGAAATACTCCAGGGAGGTCAAAGAACTGATTCTTCAACACAGCCTGTTGTGTTTCCTGCATGTCCCTTTTTTTGCACCCTGATGGCAGAAACTGCTGCCAGGTGACTGTTGAAGAAGGGAGAAGGCAGACAGAGCTAATGAACAATCCTGTAAACCCATCATTCCCTCGAGTAAACCATGATGCAACTGGGAATACGTCTTTATGATCATTTACTTTCCAGATTTTGGCAGAAGGGACTAATTGGCTCTGTTGGCCATGTTAACATAAAGTAAAGACGATCTGAGAAGTTCTGTGAGCCAGCCATAGCAAGCACATTTATATGTCTCTCTGTTATGGCATAACTTTGTAAAACTTTGTAAAATCCCAAATTTTACCGTTATTCTTTCAATAATGGCAATGATTGCAAGCAAGAATTGCAGGTCGCGATTGAGCAATAACATCACTGTAAATAAGGAAGCAATCATGGCAAAGATGAAAGTGCCCAAATCTTATGTGACGTCTGACATTTCTGTCATAAATCATATGCCATAGCTTTTGAAAGAAAGCTTTTTTTTTATTGTCCATCTGATTGTTAATAAACTTCAAAGGCTTGCTCTTAATATAATATTGCATGCATGTAGATGTAGCTCTTGAAACTGATACTGGTAGTGATATACTTTATATTTTAGGCTCCTTGTGTTAAAACAAGAGAAGCAGCAAAAATGAACTCAACAAATTAGAATAGAAATTCCCAGAGCCTAGAGAAAAATTAATAATGAGTGTTAACTTGGTATCTGAAAGTCAAATCATGTCATTTGTTTTTCTATTTAAACTCTTTATGGATTTGTGCAACTTGTAAATTTTACTTGAAAAGAAGTTGTTGGGTTAAAGGAATTTAATTTCTGGAACTTCTAGGTACCTCATTTCCAATATTTGGGGTGAGGAATGTTGCATAAGTAATCAAAAAGGAAACACTTAGATATAAGATTGAAATAAGGATGGCACAATTGCTCAGGCTACTTCTACAAAGCAGTAAACTCACAACATTTGCAGAAGTATGAAATAATTTAGGAGAGAAAAGGTGGGGAAGAGATTCTTCCCAAAACCTAGTGGGGATGAGCATTCTCAGTTGTATAGAACAGGGGTCCTCAAACTTTTTAAACAGGGGGCCAATTCACGGTCCCTCAAGACTTGGCTGCCTGGACCGGCTGGGTGGGCGTGGCTAGGTGGTCATGTAACTGCGTGGGCGTGGCCAATTTAGCAGTCTGTTAAACAACACACACAAATTAAACTTTAATTTGTTATGCTCCTGGGGGTGGAAAGCAGGTTAGTGAAGATGTGGCTGCCTTGGAGCATGTGTGAGGGACTTCTGTTTGTTTGTATGTGTGTGTGTGCCCCACTCTCTTCCCCCCTCTCTCTGGAGGCTGGGGAGCTCCTTGGCCTCCAGAACCACTCTGCTGCCCCAAAATGGGGCCGTTTTTGGCCTCCTTGGCCTCCAGAAGGTGGGTGGGGCCCAGTGGGTAGGTGGGGTGATGTGGGCGGGGCAGCCTCATGGTCCCGAGTGGGCCGGATTAATAGCTTCAGTGGGCCACATGCGGCCCGCAGGCCGTAGTTTGAGGACCCCTGGTATAGAAGGTGGAGTGGCTTTCTATGTGCTGATGGGGGAAAAATGGAACAGAATGGAGTATCTCATAAAAGATACCAATACTGACTCCATTGGAATAGAGAAGAAGAGCAGTCCATACTGCCACATTTTCATGAGGTCCTACTGCTTGCTTATATACGTTTCATTTATTTGTTTGTTTGAAAGTTGTGGCTACAGAAGAAGTGGTGACCGCTGAATCTGTGGATGGCGCAATTCAACAAGTAGTTAGTTCTGGAGGTCAGCAGGTTATCACCATAGTAACAGACGGGATACAGCTTGGAAATCTCCATTCCATTCCCACCAGCGGAATGGGTCAACCCATTATAGTGACCATGCCAGATGGGCAGCAAGGTACGTAGAAACCAGGAATAGAACTTTTAAGACACCCCCCCTTTTTTTTTTAAATGAAAAGCATATATTGAAATTTAATTATATAATATCCTGCCTTTGTTATATTTATTTAACAACTCAAGATGGCAAATGTATCTAATGCTCCTTCCTCATCCTATTTTGTTGGTTAAGTTAAACTTAATGTTCATGAAAGCCCTTTGGAGAAAAGAGATAATGAAGAATAGGTTTGGGTGGAATGTAAAGCACTGTGGAGCAGGGGTCTCCCAACTTTGGCAACTTTAAGACTTGTGGATGTCAACTCCCAGAGTTTTTCAGCCAGCAAAGCTGCATACGTCGTAGACTCAGTTTCCAGAATGGGGGGGGGGGGAGGGCTCCACATTTTACAATCTAATTTCTGCCCATTTCTGAATCATAACATAACAAAACTAGCTATAAGGGCTATGCATAGTTTAAACATTATTCTGAAGAGTTGGTTCAGGGTTTTCTCAATCATATCCCCTCTCTATTGTTCATTAAAGCAGCCAAGTCTTTTAATGGTTTTGTTCTACTTTTATTATTATTATTTTTTTTAAAAATAACTCAAGGTGGCGAATATATCTAATGCTCCTTCCTCCTTCTGAGAGAGAGAGAGTGACTGGCCCCAAATCACCCACCTGGAGCCTGAAGAAAAGATGCGGCTGCTTTAATGAACTGGCTTATTACAATGCAGGTGTGCTGTTAACGCAACACTTAAAACGATAAAGAATGCTGGGAGTTGTCTTTAGCAAGAGTGTTAGATGGCTACATGACAAAAAACAGGGGGAAAAACCCAGAATAACAGAGTTGGAAGGGACCTTGGAGGTCTTCTAGTCCAACCCCCTGCTTAGGCAGGAAACCCTACACCAAGTTCTCTTCCAACTCATATATTCAATAAACTATCTGTAATTACCTATTCCCTGCTATCCCAGCATCCAAATGCAACCATTGTTAACTAATGTAGTTTTTGATTCAAACTTATTTCAATTCCAGTACTTACAGTACCAGCCACAGACATTGCAGAGGAAACAGTAATCAGTGAAGAGCCTCCAATGAAGAGACCATGTATTGAGATCATTGAAAATCGGGTGGAATCGGCAGAAATAGAAGTAAGGAATCTGTTAGCTGAGATGTTTTATTCTGATTTTCTAAACCGAATGTTTCTTGTTGTCTTGCTTTATAATTGTGATTTTTTTTTTTTGTACTTGAAGAAAGTAAGGAATTTATTACTGCATCTTACATTTCTTTTTAAGATACAGGTAGCCCTCTTGTTTAGTGACCTTTCCAAGTTACAACGGCACTGAAAAAAGTGACTTATGACCGTTTTTCACAATTACGACCGTTGCAGCATTCCCATGGCCACGTGAATTCAGGAGCTTGGCAACTGACTCATATTTATGACAGTTGCAGTGTCCCAGGGTCATGTGATCCCCTTTTGCAACCTTAGTGTCACCAATTTAACAACTGCAGTGATTCACTTAACATTTCGCCTCTTAAAAATGATTTTAGATCAAACACTTAAATTCTTCTGAGAATTTAGGACCGTACATTAAATTCCAGTTAAACTGATCTATTGCTCTTGCCTATACACAAGAATCCAGTCAACTAGTGGTCGGCACTAAATTGGCGCTAGATCATTGTTAATGGAATTCAAGACAGGTTGGAGTTTTTGTGAGAGCCTAAAAACTCCAGGCTAATTCCTCTCTTGACTCTAACTCCAGGCTCTGCCTGCTCTTCTTTTACATTGTATTAGTGCAGTTCGGCTGGGATAATTTGAAAATATGTATGAAAGAATTTGAAATAAGGGGGCTGGGGGAAAAAAACCCTTGTTAAGAATGATGACATGGTACTTAGGTAGATGGAAATCTTGTTAAACTCAGTTAGGCTTGGAACATGTTTACGACTCTCGGGAATGACTCTCACCCTGCTCACCACTTCTTTACTCTCCTACCATCAAGAAGGAGATATAGAAGCATAGCCAACCACACAAACAAGCTGAAGAACAGTTTTTATCCGTGGGCTGTCAGACTCCTGAATGCGAAATAACATTATAACTACATAGTATTATGGACTTGCAGGGCCGGCTCAGTGTGTAACATGTTCACACTGGTGCAATAGGATTGGGTGTTTTGTTAATATGATTTATTGGGTTAGGGATTTTATGTCTTTTTTTTTTTAATTAGATTTATATGCCACCCTTCTCCGGAGACTCAGGGCGGCTTACAATGCGTTAAGCAATAGCCTTCATACTTTTGTATATTTTATACAAAGTCAGCTTATTGCCCCCACAATCTGGGTCCTCAATTTACCTACCTTAGAAAGGACGGAAGGCTGAGTCAACCTTGAGCCTGGGGAGATTCGAACATGCAATAATTGCAGACAGCTGAATGTTAATAACAGGCTTTTAGTCTGTTGAGCTATCCAGGCTCCTCTGTGAGCTCCTCTTCACTGTGAGTTGTATTGTGTTGGGGTGTGTGTGTGTGCGCTGAGGGAGTCCAACCAATCTCATTGTACATATGTTGTGCACTGACAATAAAGATTTGAAATTGAAATTGAAATGGTTAGTATTGTGCATTAAGAGAAAGTAGAGAGAAGGGGAAGAGAGAGCTTGAGTATTTGCCTCCCTATTTCATTGCAGTAAAGACACGGACAATTCTTTTAGTACTACCTGGTGATTTCATTGGAAGGATTGACATTCATTGCTTAGTGAAAGCATTGTTGAAAAAGCACTTTTTTTTTTTTTAAAAAAAGGCTTTTGCTGTGTAAAAGGTCAGAACAAAGTGATTGCTGAGATAATTATTTTAATAAAGCGGGTATGCTGCTTTTTACATCAGTTTATTTAAAATGGTTCAGAAGTGCCCCCTCTGAAAAGCAAGCCCCAATAACTTGCTTTGAACTCAATTTGTTTTTCTTTTTTTTAACTACAAAGTTGTTCCGCTTCATCAAATAAAAACATTAGATGGTTTTTGAATTTTTTTTAAAAAAAGATCAAGTTCCCAATAATATCCTTTGAAAATAACAATGTATGGTCTCACAGGAGTGATATATTCTATGAGTAATCTCTCTTCTCTCTGACGTTTTACTGATATATCTTATTCCAAGGAGCAGAATGTGTATACGTGATTCATTTCTTCCATATTAGGCTCGAAGTTTAATATTTATTTACCGCTCTCCAGTTCTTTAAAAACTGCATATTTCTTTGTAATGGTCCAAATGGAATCTACATCTCAACGTCAAAATAATATACGTGATTATTCCTTCCCAGAATATAACTGCTTTAGAACAGCTCAAACTCATGTGTTTCAACGAAGCGGTATCCCAGTTTCAATACAGTACAATTTTGTACTATATGCATTAATTGTACTATATAGTTCAATATAGTACAATTTTGTACAGAGCATTTTTTAAAGTCTTTGTTTCTAAGCCACAACTCAAAGAGCCTCTAATTTGCTCTGTTCCAAAATCCTTGCACCTTATTTCTTTTTGAAATGAAAAATGATAAAGACGTTCCACTCCCTTTGAGGGGATACCACATTAACACGATGCTTGTTTTTGTTTGACTTTCACAGGAAAGAGAAACATTGCAAAAACAGCTGGACGAGGCGAACCGGGAAGCCCAGAAGTATCGCCAGCAGCTTTTGAAGAAAGAACAGGAAGCAGAAGCTTGTAGGCAGAAGTTGGAGGCGATGACCCGCCTCCAGACTAGCAAAGAAGCTGTTTGAATGGATGAAGTGAGCATTCTATTATATACAGGATAAGAAAACCGCAGTACAATCTGACTCTGCATAACACAAATTGTAGGTGCAGAACTGAGATTTTTTTGTCAAAGAAGATGCTACTGGACTTAAGCCATGAGCTCTGGTGATTTTCTTGTATCATAAAAAAAAAAAAAACAACCTCAGAATTTAGACATTTTTGTGCAAAATATTTAAAAAGAAAAAAAAGAAATACTGTAAATAGTTGTTTTTTTTTACAGTTCCAAAATTAGTTGTTTAATCTTTTCGGAAGGGATCCAGAAACCTGCAATGCCAATGTTTTTGTGACTTCTTTTCTTTTCTTTTCTTTTACTATGAATCTTCTGAGATACAGAACAGTTTTAAGGAGGATAACTGTTGATTGAAACTGTGCTGTGTTAAATGAATTATGTGACAGAACCGAGCTTGAAAGCTATGAATTCGACCTCTGACTAAAAATTCATTTCCTGATTATTGTTATCCTTTGTACAGCTTTAAGGAGTTGGCCAAGGCCTCCGAACAATGCCCCCCTTTTTTTAGGGAAGAAAAAAGTGTAATTTTTTATATTTAATTCCTGATATATTCAAGTAGATTGACATGTATATGAAGCTGATATTTTTAAAAGTTTTCAGTTTGTACATATGCTGCATGTTTTTTTTATGATTTCTATATACATCTTCCATAAGTATTTTTCAGGAAAGAGGATGGAAAATTATGATTAAAAAAAATATTTAACCTCTAGCCCGGGAGCCTGGCTCAGGAATTCTGGGAGTTGAAGTCCACAGGTCATAAAGTTGCTATAGTTGCCCAGCCGTGCTCTAGGTCATGGGGGTAGGGGGTAGATGAAGAAGCCGGTGAATAATTGTGGGTCGATTGTTTTTCTTTTATATCGGGAGCCCCATTTCTTAGAGGGATGTAACCTGGGAGAAGAAAAGGAAAACAAAAACCAGTATTTATGTAATATATTAACTATATGAAAATATTACCCTTAGCGCAGCCAATCATATTTTCAGGGGTGTCCAGCTAAGCTGGGCTGGGATAATTCTGCAGATGGAGAACAAATTTCAAGTCCTTCTCCCCCCACCCCCCTCAAACTCTTAAGCTTAACCTCTTCCCTACTATGCTGCCACCTGCTGGACAGGAAGTTAACATTCACATCACAGCACCCCTCTGTCCCCATCTCTCCCCCATAACCCCCCAAATGCAAATGCCGTAAGTATAATAGGCTGATATCTGGAATTGGAGTCCAGGCTGTCCTTCAAGAAATCTGTTGGTAAATGGCACACAAGTGTGTCCATCTCTCACATCTAATCTGACTCGCCAACGGACAGCAGGTACTGATGACCAGATCTCCTAAAACAGTTCACAACACCTGCCCCACCAAGGTTTTATCACCTGCTAGAAATTGTCAAAAAAAAAAAAAAAAGGAGTGGAAGGAGTTAATTTGAAGACAGAGGTCTGAAAATGGCATCTCACCACCACTTCTCCAACGGGACATCCCTCAAGCGTTGAAGGTCATGAGATTGGAGAGAGGAAATTGGGCAACCAGTGACTCCTCACACTCCTCCTTTTTCATGATTGTGGCTGTTGTATACCGATAGCCTAACACGTAAGAAAGTCCGGCACTGGAGTCATTTCTGTTCACAACGTTCCCACTGCAAAATGAACAGGGGTAACAGAAAAGCCTGAAATCCTTGCATGCGTTTTATCTAGGAGCCACCTAAAGTGAAATCCACCTTCTCTTGTGTTCCTGCTCTGCCACCACTTTTGCTCTCCCTTCTTCCAACAAAGCTTACAGAGGAAATGCTCCTTGTTCACACTCGTGCCCATCGTCTCAATCTAACAGTGCAACTAACGCACGCAGGCGCATGTAATTTTCACCGTCTTTATCTGCACAACAAAATTTTAAGGTTGCCCTAAATCATGACTGACCTCTAGGGGCAGCTTTGTGTGGGCGGTTCGGTTGTTGCCTTCTGTTATTTTGGACAGCTCCAATTATGTTTTAATTTGCGTGGTCTTCGGGGGGAAGACAATTCTTAGCATTTCTGGCGAATGGTGTTTTACATTTCTCAGTTTTTATACCTGTCTTTTCTCTCTCTCCTCCCACGCCGTCCAGGTTTATTGGTATTCAGCGCCCACATTTTGCTAACCAAGTACGATCAGCCGTTATTGATGTAGATTGACGTAGAGTTCAAAGTCTGCCATGATTGAACTATATTAAATTGTGAAGGAGTGATTTAGGTCCGCAAGATATTGTAGATAATATACCAACCCTAAGTACCATTACACATGGACCCTAAGTACCATTACACATTACACTGTTAAAAGAAATAAGGATGTTTTAGACCTTAAACTTTTAATACATCCTCAAAAAATAGGTAAGTAAGCACTTAGTTCCCTACTGGACTTACGTTATGGGACCTACTAAAGGTTTCACAGCTAAGTCCTGCTCTGCAGATGAAAAGGAATGAAAAGTAGATATAATTGTAGATGGGATTTGAATACAAGGAGAAAAGAGATGGATGGATCTCCTTCCCCCTAACCTTGTCTTGTGTGAGCTTTCTACTTGCACTCAGGCAAACATAAGGGAATCTTTATAAAAATTTATTTCCTTGTCAGTCACAGTTGATGTAGTTGGGTCGATCTTGCCTGCTGCAAACGTTGACCTGTAGAGAGCCAAGAACATGTAAACATTGGTTGGCTTTCGGATAATTCACAGACCATACTGCCTTAAAGATTACCAAGTGCTACAAACGCTTTACCCTTTGTTGAGACTACTGTGCAGCTCCTTTATTTCCACGTATACCTTGTATTTTGATTTGTGCTTTTGCTGTGTTTTATCTTTCAGTGCTTTTATGAAACGTATAACTTTATAAATCATCTAGATTACCTATACAGAAGAATTGCCCTTAAAACTGTCTTTGGCCTACCTTTTCTATTTACAATTAAATATCTTTTCCACAGATGCGGGATTGATTCACTTCTTTTGTAAAACGTTATCACCCGGGTGTTTTCTTTCGTAGCACAGAATTGTTATGAAAGGTAGCTGCTTGGGTTTTTAAGAATTAGAAACACGTAGAGAAGAAATACACGGGCTGGAATACAGTTGCGTCAGTGTCACTATTAGAAGAGTTTCAAAAGTCTACATTTGAGGTTTCCACACTAGTCGTTGAAGGGCAAAATGATTCTTTCAATAAGGCGTCGTAATTTGCTATTTTATAACATCAGCATTATTTTAAACTAGAAAAGTCCAGTCGCTGAATTTAGCATGGAGACTCAAAAAATGTGAGACGTTTGAAAAGGTTCATGGTCCAGTTTTTTACAACTTTAGTCAGTGTTGGGTTTCAAAATTTTTTATTACCAGTTCTGTGGGTGTGGCTTGGGCGTGGCATGGCTTGGTGGGCATGGCAGGGGAAGGATACTATAAAATCTCCATTCCCACACCACTCCGGGGGGAAGGATACTGCAAAATCCCCATTTCCTCCCGATCAGCTGGGACTCGGAAGGCAGAGAATAGATGGGGGCGGGGCCAGTCAGAATTTTTACTACTGGTTCTCCGAACTACTCAAAATTTCTGCTATCGGTTCTCCAGAACTGGTCAGAACCTGCTGAAACCCACCTCTGACTTTAGTCCATTTAAACCTATGGACTTCCAACAGAAGATTTTGTTGATTCTAACAATAGTTTAGGGGTTGCACATTTTGCCATTCCAACCCCATCACTTACGTCAGTGATGGCTGACCTTTTCAGTACTGAGTGCCCAAAGCGCACTCGCGCATCCCCAAAATGCAATGCTTGTGCCCCCTGTGCATGTGCCCCACCCCCCATGCAGGCACGGCAGACACCCAGCGGCTCGCATGCCCACAGGGAGGACTCTGGGTGTCACCTATGGCACGCGTGCCATAGGTTCACCATCACGGACTTACGTGAATAATAGCCCTAACTAAAATGCCCCAAAATGAAAGAAGTCATTTGAACACCTCAACTGGGGTTGCTGTTGAAAGGATCGCTCACAGGAAGGATCTTGAAACTGGATCACCCTTGATGCTTGTCAGCTACAAATGTTGGAGCAACCACAATTTTGAGTTGTGACTCCAGAACAAGGCATTGTTACTATGTTTAGCAACACGGGTATCAGTAAAATGAAAAAGAAATTTTCCAGAATTGATTTACTACTTGTATGCTATTCCATTTCTGAAGACATTTGAACAACTTTGAATAACAACAATAACCCCTGTAAAACCAACCCAGGTTTTTCCTCTCCTATGCCAGCAGATGTTCAAAAGATACTCCCTTGGTACCAAATGGAAGGAGTAGGGTTGGAAAAAAAACTCAGATATAATTTTTTTATTTTCTTTTAATACAAATATTTCATCTTTCATTAAACAGTGTGTCATCTGAATACATATTTTTGTGTCATAATTAAAATTTACCACCATATTCTTATTTTGTATCTCTTATATTACTACCTACTATTATAACATTTCTTAACTTATTTGCCTTTATAATACATTACTTTTATATTTATTCTCTAACCACTGATAGAAAAACTCCCATATATTGTAACAATCAGATTTTTCCTTTCCTTTAATTGCAAGTGTTAATCTATTCATTTTTGCACATTCTAATATTTTCTTAATCACATTTTCATCCGTAGGAATCTCTTCACTTTTCCAATTTTGTGCAAATACAATTCTAGCCGCAGTTATTACACGAATAATCAAATATACATCGTCTTTACTATAAATTTCTGGTAAAATCCCCAACAGAAATAGTTCAGGTTTTAAATCGATAAGTTTCTGCGTCATCTTCTCCAACCACATACGAATTTTTGCCCAATATTTTTTTTGCTTCTACACATGTCCACCACATATGATAATACGGCCCCCGTATCTGATGAAATTTCCAACATCTAGCTGATTTGTCTTTAAACATTTTTGCCAGTCTTTCCGATGACAAATGCCATCTATAAAACATCTTGTACGAATTTTCCTTATATGCCGTTGACATTTTAAAAAGAACCTCCCTTTGCATTTCTGACCTACTAAAATGAAGCTTAAGTTGCATAAGCATTTCAAAAAGCCACAATTTTGACAAATGGGGTAAGTCAGAATAAGTTTAACCAGCCTGCCAACCATTAGGTATGGTATCTGTTGACTCATGAGTTCAGCTTTTGAGGATTAAACCACTTAACCTAATCAGAACTTGGGCTACCAACCAATAATGTCCTCCAGGATCAGCATCACAACCTACTTCAGCGTCACAACCATTTCTGAAACGGAAAAGAAAATAGATCAAATTCATCAGAAACGAGAAGGCTGGTTCAGTAACGATTGTAGACCAACAAATACCTATTTCTCCAGAGAGAATTAAGCCATTTGTGACACATGGTGCTTTTTCCCACGGTTTTGACGACATGGCTTCTCTTCGCACTTAACCAACATACCATTTCTATTCATTCGGTCGCCTGTGGGTAAATATATTTTCCCCTTCGTTTGCTACCGACTGGGTCCAAGAGGAAGATAACTGTAACAAGATAGCCATTTGCATCAAATTGTATTTGTTCAAGGCCTTTTGTTTCCTGTCTGAACTGCACTCTGGAGTGTGTTTGCTCACCTCTTCAATTAGTGTGCCATTTCGGAACTAAAGAGAGGCAAGATAAATAGATCTATGACTTCCATTTCAAAATCTTTTGATGGGACCAAGAGGAAGCTGGTTTAAGCGTGAGGTGCTTTCAGCAATCAGTTCTGAGTTTCAGAAGTGGGTTTTAGACTATTGCTCCAAACATGATTTTCCCCACTCCCCATTTTTATAAAAGTTTTGAAACATTTCTTGATCTATTCTCTCTGGATGTCTTACCTGGATGTTTGATGAAAGCCAACAAGTCCAGTCGTCTGCCTGCTAAAGCTCTAACTTTAAATTAGTTTAAATGCCTTTTATTCGTGATTTCTATAAAAAAATGTCCATGTTTCTATTATTCTACAGACAAAGACAAGACAACCTTCCAAAAGACTCCTATATTTTTGTCCGTTGCATTTGTGTGTAAGTGGAGGTCCCACGGGGAGGGACCAAGCCTCTTCCTTCTCTTGTTGCCCTTTGGCCATGGTGAGATGATGTCTGTCCTCTGGCAATGCCTGCCACCATTCCTTCCAATGTTTTTTTTTAAAAAAATATTTTATTTTAATATAGACATTTCATCTTTCATTAAACAGTGTGTCATCTGGGTACAAATACTTTGTGCAATAACAATTAAGATTTACGGCTATATTTAATATTTTGTCTATTCTTAACTTAATAGTATTACCTTACATACCTTCTATTATAACAATCCTCTTCTTAGCTTATTTAACTTTATTAAAACACTTTCCATATTTCACTTCTCTGCTTTTCTTTCTAATTTTCATATTTGTTCTCTAATCATACTGATTTCAAACCTGAAATATTCTTGTTGGGGATTTTACCAGAAACGTAGGAGGAGGAGGCTATTCATAGTGCGTGCGTGCGCAGAGCTGCCAGAAGGCAAGAACAGTTAAAAGAAAAGGGACGACTCAGGAGTAAGGCCCAGAGATGATTGGCCCCTCCCATAAAGCTTAAAAGAGGAGCAAAGGCACATGGGCCCTTTGCAGGAAAGCAACATTGTTAATTCTGTTCCCAGTCAGCATCTCTGTTTGATTCTGGAATCCGTGTGGCTTTGCCAAGTAGGTCTTTGGCAGAGTGTCAACGGAGATAAAGGTTGGCGATTATCCCAAAGGACTTCTCCCGAAGGACTTTTTGCAACTAATTGGGACTCAGCTGTGAATGAACAGAATTCACAGCTGTTGCAATAAAAGAGATTTTTGGGACTACTCGTGTGTTTTCATGACTCAGGAAGCCTAGGTCAGAACAAGTATAAACGGATTTCCAGAAAAAAAAGAAGAAGCAGACTACAGGAGTCAGGTGACCCTGAGGGCACAGATAAACCTCCAAGAGGTCTCAACGATTCTCAGAGAGAGTACTAACGACCAGATGACTGTAAGGAATATACATCCTTCCACTCTCCACCATTCAGTCAGAACTGAAGAACCTGCTTGGATGAGAAGCAAAATGTCTTCAAGCAGAACAAGAAAGACCAGTTGTCTTTTGAAAGAAAGAACTTTTGGGACTTCCACCCTTCCGTTTTCAAGATCACCATATTATGGTACCATGATAATCAGATGGCATAATTTGCTGCCAAAGAGGCTTATCAATTCTCACTTGCTGGGTATCTAGAAAAAACAGAAGTCTGCAATGATAGATATATATTCTCTCTCTCTCCCCCCTCTTTTTTCTCCCACAGCACAATGCATGTGTGTGGAGTTGTGTTGCTTGCCCAGACACCAGAGAACATACTATAAATAAATGTGCAGTCAATTTACCGTCTCTTACGTGTGAACTCAAGACTTAGCTTCTCACCATTCTTGATCTGCAGATGTCAGAATAGAAATCTACAACATACCTGGTGTCTAATTCTTACAGGCATAAATCCAAAGTGATGAATACTCCAGATTTGGATAACTAGTTCATCGGAAGGGTACTTAGGCCCTAGATTTCTATCTCAGGCCAAGTTAATACATTGTGTTAAGTCATTGCTTGACTAAGATGTATTGAATTGGTTGGCTTCACGATTGTGTGAACCAGTGTCCAAATGTACATATTGTGTAGTCTAAATCAGGGTTTTTCAACCGTGGCAATTTGAAATTGTCTGGACTTCAACTCCCAGAATTCTCCAGCCAGCCATGGTGGGAAGTCCAGACAGCTTAAAGTTGACTAAGTTGAGATACAGTGATTGTGGATTGCTGTGGCCAACTCACCATGGCCAACTCGCCATAATATGGCATATTATTTGTACATAATATGTACAAATTGGTTGTGGCAAGTTGTCCTAGACCACAGTGATTGTGTGTGATTAGCTAATGTTGTTTGGATGGACAGCATCTACTCTTAC